CTAGGTTTTCTTGTGGTGTCCTTGACCTCTCTGGCTCTTTGAATCCTTCTTCCGTAAGATTTCCTGAGCTCCACCTAATGTTTGGCTGTGTATTTCTGCATCTGTTTTCATCAGCTGTTGGGTGGAGGCACTCAGATAACTGTTATACTAGCCTCCTGTCTGCAAGAATAGCAGAAATTATGGGTAGTGTCTATGGCATATGACTCAAGTTTGCCAGTCATTGATTAACTGGGGAGAAGGTTTTGTGTGTGGGTTAGTGTCCCTCTCCTGCTTCTGAAAGTCCCCCCTGTCTACAGGTGGTGGCCACTTGAGGTTCCATTTTCCCCACTGCTAGGAGTCTCAGCTAGGGTCACCACCATAGACTCCCTGGAGCCTCCCCCATCCCACAGAAGCCCCTCCGCCCAGATTTCAGTTCTTACTTCCAGCCCTCCTCCCTTTCTCCACACCTAATCCCTACCCCTCTTCTCCTCTCCCCCGCTCTTTCATCCAGTTCCCATCCTCTATCTACTTCAGTTGTGTATTTTCTTTTCCCTTCGGAATGAGATGTGGGCCCTCCTTACTTAGCTCCTTTGGGTCTGTGAATTGTAGGGTGGCTATCTTGTATTTATGACTAATACCCACTTACAAGTGAGTACGTACCATGTGTGTCTTTCTGGGTCTGGGTTATCTCACTCAGGATGATAAACACATTTTTCTTTTCAGTAATGCACGTGTGCCTTTGGTAAATTATTGTCTGAAAATATTAGAATTTATATTCTCATTTTGTCATGTCTGATCACATGAAATGCATTTGTTAGTCTTCATGTGTTAGTTTGGACTGAATGACCAAGCTGTCGCTTCTCCTTATTCAGGAGGTCTTTCCTGTTCAAATCTAATCTTTATCAAATTTGATGATATCCACCACCTTTCTTTACCTGTGGAAACAAAGGCAAAAACCTCCCCAATGTAACACATATCCTGGTTTCCAATCTGAGGTCAATACATCTTTAAAATATACAAGTTGATTTAATTCAGCAGCTTTTTTAAATGTTTAATCTGCTGAACAGTCTGTGACTGTTCTTGATAATACCTTTTAATATTTTTCTCAGAGGCATTCTTTATTTTATGGTTTGTTTCTGAGATTGGAGGAATGTCAATCTGTGTTTTCCATTGCTACAACAAATCATATCCCGATAAATTCATGGCTGTATTAGCCACATATGGCTTTAGTTTTCCTATTTGTCCTTCTGGGACTATATACTCAATGCATCTTGCACTTTGTTCTATCTGAGATAAAGTTCCAATCCCTAGAAGCTGAATACTTCCTGGAATCCCAAGATTTTGGTGAAATTATTGTTATTTCTGCTCCTGTGTCTACTAAACCTCCAATTTCAATGTCATTTATTTATATTTTTAGATTTGTTCACTGATCATTTATAGCAGTTTGCTGAAATACTTGTTTTCTGGGCTCTCTGGAATTTTTTGTTTCATCTACGAAGCCGTCCTGTCCTTGATTACATCCAGAGCAGGGTTGCTTTTGACAACAGGCATTGAATCTTTTAATTGCTCTGTGGGTGAGTTTCTCTGACACTGACAGGGAATGATTGAATTGGATTTGATACTGGGGCTCTTGGGTGGCCCACTAGGGTGTTTTCTGATGGCAAAAGGTTACCTTTGCCTGCCACTTCTTGCTCTGCACTCGTCCAGTGTCGTTCAGTGTTGGCCTTTGCTGCACCTTCTGCAAACTCCAGAAGGCTAGGGTCTTCTTTTTGGATTATCTAGAGAAAATAACTTTTTTTCTAGGAATTTTTTTTGCCTATAATCCCTTTTCAAATGACCTGGTTTACCATAATTAAAACATCTGACATCTTGATTTGTCTTAAAACTTTTAGAAATTACTTCAATTACTTCTCCTATCAGCATAGCATCATAAATATGAGATCCAGTATCAGCCGTATTTCTATTCCATTCATCTATTGGTGCTTGCTGATCTTGAGTTTAAAGGCCTAATGACCCTTTTGCATTCTGAAATCTTTTTTTTTTTTTTAAGACAGGTTGCTCTGGCTGTCCAAGAACTCACTCTGTAGACCAGGCTGGCCTCATACTCATAAAGATGTGCCTGCCCCTGCCTCCCAAACGCTGGGATTAAAGGCATTTGCTACCACTGCCTGGTGTGAATTAGCATTTTAAAAAACCAGCGATTCCATTAATGTTTGTCTGACTTCTGAATCTGATACTATTCTATGTATAGCTGAAGCCAGTCTTTGCAAAATATCAGGGAAGGCTTCTAAGGGTCTTGTATAATTTTAGTAAATTACTGAGACCTCTTTCCTGATTCTTCAACATTATCCCAGGCATATAAAGCTGCTAAATGACATAGCACCACAAAGTGTGATGATCAAATTCAAGCTGCCTTTGTAACTCAGTATATTGACCTTCACCTAGCAATATTTCCTGGGAAATATTTATACCCCTAGACTTAAGTCATTGTTCTATGGTCTACCTTCTTCTTTCCACTGTGTTCGTCATTGTAACTGTGGATCAGCTTCCAATATTGCTGTTGTCAAATCTTTCCAGTCTTGGGGGATAATTCTGTTCTTAGTTGCCCGTGAATTTTTTTTCTTTTTAAAGATTTATTTATTATGTATGCAATGGTTTGTCTGCATGGACACCTGCTTGCCAGAAGAGGGCACCAGATCTCATCATAGGTGATTGTGAGCCACCATGTGGTTGTGGAAATTGAACTGAGGACCTTTGCAAGAGCAGCCAGTGCTCTTAACTTCTGAGCCATCTCTCCAGCCCCTTTCCCATGAATTTAATATCTGCTTCCTATAGGGTGAATATACACCATAAGAAATGATTGCTTCCTTAAATCTTCTCAAATCTAATATGTCTATAGGATTCCATTTCACTTCTTCATAATCTTGGGGCTGCCTAGTAGCTCATATATAGTAACTGGATAAACTAAGGTTGGTTTTATAACAACCTACGGCCGCCCCTCTTCAGTTTCATCATGTGATGGCATGGTAGGCTGTGGTCTAAATTTCTTTCTGTGTCTGAATGTTTTTCTCATTTTTTTTTAAGATTTATTTATTTATTTATTACATATATAGTGTCTGCCTGCATACCAGCAGAGGGCACCAGATCTCACTATAGATGGTTGTGAGCTACCATATGGTTGCTGGGAATTGAAATCAGGTTATGAGTGAGCCCCATGTGGTTGCTAGGAATTGAACTCAGGACCTCTGAAGAGCAGCCAGTGTTCTTAACCTCTGAGCCATCTCTCCAGCCCCCTGTTGTTCTCATTTTTATCTATTTATAAGTCTTTGCTTTTTTTCCTAAGGCTTGTATGTTATCAGTCCACTTTTCATATTTTTTTTTCATGTCTCTAAAGCTTTTTTTTTTTTTTTTTTTTTGAGAGGGTATAGAAAGCCACTATGGTTTTTAAGGATAAAATATGAAATAACAAAATGATAATAATCATAATAGGTATTGAACCAATTTCATTTAAGTCACTTTTCACTTTCTGTTTCTATTTTTTTTAAAGCTTTATTATATATACAATGTTCTGTCTGCATTTACACCTGCACGCCAGAAGAGAGCACTAGACTCATTATAGATGGTTGTGAGCCATCATGTGGTGGCTGGGAATTGAACTCAGGACCTCTGGAAGAGCAGCCAGTGCTCTTAACCTCTGAGCTAGCCCTCTGCTTCTATTTTCAAGCTATCTAAAGTAAGACTATAGAGCCCTTGTATTATGGTATTTCCCATCCTTTACTCTCTCCTTCTCAGGTGACTTACCAAATCTGATGGCTTCCCAGGTTGTCTGCAGCTGGCGTCATTTCTCTGTCCGTGTGGTTGTGCCACGTGTTGGAGTGCCAAACAAATATCCTGCAACAGATGCTGAGGGGGTTGGTTAGCCCTGTCAGTCTAGAATCATTTACATAGGAGGCCACAGTACTAAACCAGATTAGGTTGCTTTCAGTCTTTAATCTAGCACTCCAGGAGTGTGAGGCAGAAGGATGACTAAGTTCAAGGCCAGCCTGTGCTACATAGAGAGTCTGCCTCCAAAAAAGAGGGAAAAAATTGAATAAAATCAAATATGAAGATAGCTTTAGTAGTGACTGGAGAAATAGCTCAGTGGATAAGAGCACTTGCTGCTCTTCCATAGGACCCGGTTTACCAATACCCACATGGTAGCTCACAATGGACTGTAACTCCAGTTTCAAGGAATCAAGGTCCTTTTCTGACCTCCAAGGGCCCTGCATATAAATGACGCACACACACACACATATGTAATTACATACATAAAACAATTTTTATTTCCATTTTAGTTTTTAAAAAGATGTATTTATTATTTATACAGTATTCTCTTTGCACATGTGCCTGAACACCGGAAGAGGGCACCAGATCTCATTATAGATAGTTATGAGCCACCACGTGGTTGCTGGAATTGAACTCAGGACCTTTGGAAAAACAGCCAGTGCTCTTAACCTCTTAGCCATCTCTCCAGCTCAAAACAAATTTTTAAAGCTATAGTTATTGGAGAGAGTGATAGAAGAACCAACCAGTATTGGCTAGGACAAAAATGACTTCTAACTTGGGGTTCTAGACCATAGGATTCATGCCAAGTCCTGACCCAGTGTATGTTGCTCTTAACTCTGGCAGGAGCCCCAGACCCTATTTACAGGTCGTGTTAGACGCCCTATAGTTCACTCTTCATTGCTGCTGCAAACACAGCTGAGCTGAAGTTTGATTTTGGCTCTTTCCACCCCAATTGAATGTAGAAAATCTTCCACAGATGTACCCAGGCATGGTGTGCTTCTGTGGTGATCATAGTCCCTCTAAGTTGAATGAAGATTTGCCATCTCAGGAAGTCAGGATGGTGCTACCATACCCACAGCACCAAACTGCTTTCTTTTATTACTGGAACCAAAGCTTCTGTAAACCTGACCTTTGTTCTCTCTCCTCTGCTCCAGCCAGGCCTTCCTCCCTAATGTGTAGCCTTTGTGGTGTTACAGGTGTGGAGATGAAGAAGATCACAGACGCCCACACGCCATCTGGCCTGACCGTCAACCTGACCCTGTACTACATGCTGTCCTGCTCACCAGCCCCTCTGCTTAGCCCTTCTCTGAGCCACAGGGAACGAGACCAGATGGAGGCAACACTCAACTATGAAGACCACTGCTTCAGCGGCCATGCCACCATGCATGCCGAGAACCTGTGGCCTGGCCAGCTCTCCTCAGTGCAGCAGACCCTGCAGCTGGCTGACCTGTGGAAGCTGACCCTTCAAAAGCGCGGCTGCAAGGGGCTGGTGAAGGTCGGCGCTCCGGGCATCCTGCAAGGCATGGTGCTCAGCTTCGGTGGGCTACAGTTCACAGAAAACCATCTGCAGTTCCAGGCCGACCCTGAGGTACTCCACAACAGCTATGCGCTGCATGGCATCCGCTACAAGAACGACAACATCAACCTGGCGGTGCTGGTGGATGCCGAGGGCAAGCCCTATCTGCATGTGTCTGTGGAGTCCCGAGGCCAGCCTGTCAAGATCTACGCCTGTGAGGCAGGCTGCCTCCATGACCCTGTGGAGCTGACCTCGGAACCCGAGGGCCACACTTTCTCTGTCATGGTGACACAGCCCATCACACCTCTGCTGTACATCTCCACCGACCTCACACACCTGCAGGACCTGCGGCACACACTGCACCTTAAGGCCATCCTGGCCCACGATGAGCACATGGCCCAGCAGGATCCCGGCTTGCCCTTCCTCTTCTGGTTCAGTGTGGCCTCCCTCATCACCCTCTTCCACCTCTTCCTCTTTAAACTCATCTATAATGAGTACTGTGGGCCTGGAGCCAAGCCCCTCTTCAGGAGCAAGGTAGGCTACCTCGACTCCTAAAGCCCCGAGCCTCTGCCATTGTCATGTCCAAAAGGGGTAGCCTGGCCAGGGGACAGCCTAAGTAGTAAAGAGATTTCTTTCCAAGCCAGTGCCCACAGCTCTCAGTAGCAGAGGGAGGAGTCCATTTGACAGCAGGCTGGTTCTGGTAGTGAGCCCCTGCTCTCCCAGCATTGAAGATGCTGAAGCAGGAAGGTTACGAATTTGAGACCAACCTGAGCTACATAGCAAAACACACTTAAATAAACAAAACAAACAAACAAAACCCATTGCTGTCAGAGGTCAGGCCCTCAGTGTGGGTTTGGGTGATGTATCTTGTCAGCCAACAACAGCAGGAGAACCAGACCATCCCTGCCCCTCTCCTTTCCCACGCTGCAGTGCTGTAGGGGGTAGACCAGGTAGTGGATCTGTACCCCAGCATTTAGGAAGCCCTGATCCCACACAGGAGATGGGACTGCCCCCTCTACCAAGAAGCTCTGTGGTTTCTGGTTTAAGGCCAGGCTTTCAGAGAAAGCAGTGCTTGGCCGTCAGGAGCAGGCATCAAACGGAGGCAGGTCTGAGTCCCTTACGATGGGGGAGCCAGTGGAGACTTGGGTCGGAAAGCAGTGTGGAGAAGGCCTTCCCGGTAGCCAGCCTTTGGCCAGCTATGATAGAAAAGGTGGGTCTTGCAGGCTCTTTCCCCCTATTGGCCATTGGCCTCTTGCCCTTGCTCTTGCTTGGCATGTATGTTCTTATATGTTCAAAATACAATTGGGAAGACAGCTCAAACTGCCCCCCCTGAGGAGCTGCCCATGCTCCTCATTGCCATGCTGGAGAAACAGTCCCAACCAACATGCCTGGCTGTTCTGTGAATGTTTCTATAGCTGGGCCGAGGGTTGGTGGTGAGCAGTGACCTCTTGTTTCATTGAGCAGGAAGATCCCAGTGTTTGAGTGAACCTCGACTCCCACTCTCCGCCACCGTTTGCACAGGACACTCAGCATTGAGCATCCCGCTGCCGCGTGAACAGGGAGCCTTTGGAAGCACCAACCCTTTGTGCCTTGTGGGGGACAGTGACTCAGAAGCGCTTGTGGGTACAAGAGTTTGCACTGGAGGGGAAGGAGGGCCGAGGACTTGTGTAAGTTTTCCCGTCAATAAAACAAACCCGTAGGGAGAATACTTGAAGTTGAGCGCACTCCTTCCACTTCCCCCATTTCTTCTATCCAGGAAATAGAGCTTCTTTAAAGACTTGTTTAGGAAAGATTGTGTTCTTTTCCTAATTTAATGTGTTCTTTCTTGAATGGATTTCTAATTTATTTTTGTTGAAGATTTGCTGGATGGCTTTTCATCCACCGTAGATCAGGACTGTTGGTGACAACAATCGATCCCTGCCACCTCATTGGTACCCAGAGGCCCCACACAGTCTGGAGGCTGGACCTGACTCCAGCTGACCACCCTGCCTGGGGAAGGTGTGGTTCCCCGCCCTCCCTCCGCTGGTTTGCACATTGCCTCTTTCCTACTTTGAGCCAGTGGGGTCTGTGCTTTTGTACTTCGGGTCCCTGGGACAGGTATTTAACTTTCTAGTGATGATGGTTGTTGGGTTTTGAAATACCAAAGCTTTTTTGTTCTTTTTTAAATAAATATCTTTCAAATTTCCATGATGGTTTGTGTGTGGTTAAACCCTTGGACACATTCATCACACCCTCTGCATCACTAGCTTTTTGGGGTGGTCTCCAGTGGTACACTCCACCTCAGCTGCTTTCTCGTGTGGCTGTTGGCTGTGCTGCCATGGGACCCTGAGTATCTTCCCTGCCTCAGTGCTGGCCCCTCCTCCCTTAGCTGTCCTCAGGGTCTGGGCCCTACAGCTCTGTGTTTTTCTAGCTGAAGGGAAGGGGCAAGGGGTGGTGATGGGCATTCTGCTCAAGGGAGGGGAGGGAACTGTACTCCAGGGATCAGAACGGGACTGAACCGGAGATAGCAGCCCTCTGCTGGGGCCGTCATCCTCAGGGATTGGTGGTTTCCCTGGGTTTCCTGACTCTGTGACTCACCAGGAAGCCTGGCCTTTTTACCAAGGATTTGTGTGTCTACCACGACAGCTGCTCAAGAGTAAACTGAGGGGACAGGGCTGTGTTGTGGGTAGCCCTGTTTTTATTGCTTCAGTCCACAGCACTGCGGGGTGCAGAGATAGACCAGCTTGCCTCTTCCAGAGAGTAGGGTGTCATTTATAACGTGACAAACCTTGCAGTTGTGTTGACCTGGAAGCTGCTAGTAGTTAGCTGCAGTGTGCAGGCCTGGACTCCCAGCCCTTGGGAAGTAGTGGCAGGAAGCCTAGGAGCTAAAGGTTATTCCTGACTATAGAGTGAGTCTGAGGCCTGCAAACCTCATGACCTGAGTTCAGTCTCGCAATGGAAGGAGAGAACCAACTCCCAAAAGTTATCCTTTGACCCCCACAGATATACTGTGGCCCATTCAAACACATGTAACGCACAAGACAAATTTTGAATTGACTTCAAATTAAACTAGTACCTGTAAATTACAGCTCTCATTTATAAACTGCAGTGCTCTGGGCATGCAGACACACGAGGATCGAAGCAAGTTTGAAGCCAGCCTCTGCTTCGTAGGAGGTACCAGGCCAGCCAGGGTTACAGAGCAGGACACTGTCTCAGTGTCCCCACACCCAAAGCCCTTCACTACCTGAGCGAGGTCTTTTACATGAGTGTGGCTTCATGTGAGAAGAGGTTGCTGGGTTAAGATCTCAAATGCAGACCAGGTAAGGTAATGCACTCCTGTAATCCTGGTGCTCAGCAACTGAGATGGGAGTGTGGACAGCACAAGAACATAGGCTGTGTACAAGATGGTCTTCAGACTCCACTGCAGCCTGGCCTACATATCGAGTTCCAGGACAGCCAGGAGGACTACATAGACCCTGTTTCAAACAGCAAGAACAAACAAAAAACAGCAGGGCGATGGTGGCATACGCCTTTAATCCCAGCACTCAGGAGGCAGAGGCAGGCAGATCTCCACGTTCCAGCCCAGTTTGGTCTACAGACTGAGTTCCAAGACAGCCAGGGCTACACAGAAAGCCTGTCTTGGGGAACAGGGTTCGGGGTGGGGGTAACAAAAGTCCCTCAATTGTCAAGGAATTAGGCCTCAGTAAAAATGCTAAGTCCTTGCAGTTTCTAGTGTCAAGCTGAAAGCAAGCTGGCTGAGGCTCTCTATCCCTCCTCTCCATGGCACCCTTAGCAGCTTCAGTGGGATGGCTGGCATGGTGTCTGCAGCATACATCCAAAGTGCCACCAAGGGAGCCACCCCTCTGAAGGATCTGTGTGTGTGTGTGCTATCCTTATAGGTGGGTGCATGCAGAGGCCAGAGAGACCAGATGGTATTGGCCGTCCTCTTCACTCTGCCTGTTCCTTGAAGGAACAAATCTGGGCTTGCATCACAGGGAGGCTAGAAGCCAGCAAGGCCATCTCCACCACCCTCAGAGCTGGGATTCCCGAGGCTTCCTAGGACACTGGTCCTCACATCTGCAAAGCAAGCACTTCACTACTGAGCTCTCTCCAGCCCATTTGCCTCCCTTTTTGTCAAAGGCTGCATGCCCTTTATAGGGATCCTGGGGATCTGAACTCAAGTTCTCACGCCTGCATGGCAAGTGCCTGCTCCACTAAACCATCTCCTTGGGGTTTTTGTTGTTGTTGTTGTTGTTTTGGTTTGTTTTGTTTGAGGCAGGTTTCATGTAGCTCATCCTAGCCTTGAATTTGGTATGTAGCCAAGGATGGCTTTGGATTTATAATGCTCCTTTTACCTCCCAAGTGTGGGGAATGTTGAGGGAAGCCTTTTGGAGGTCCATAGAAATGGCGAGTGAAGCGTCAGCGACTCCTACAACTTCTTGCAAGGTCCTGATCCACTGCGCACAGTGTTGACCTACTAGGGACGCCTAGCACCCTATTAAGCCTCAAAATGGATCTGAGGCCGGGACGATGGCTGCTTCCCCGTTCTTCACAGAAGTCTCCTAAGGTGCCCCGCTCCCCCACATCTCCCACATTTCTTTATAGTCACACCAACCTGATTGATTGTTGCTGGTGCTTGAGGCTGGCGTGGGATGGTCAGACTGGCCTTTCAGTCATTTAAAGGCTGTTACACCTTTAAATGACCTAAAGTTAGATCTTCACCTTTGAGTCTGGTCTCTGGAGTCTGATTGTGGGATTCTGCGTGGGCTCCATTGCCCCTCATCCCCTTCCCCTTGGTTCCTCATCCCTACACCCAAGTGCTGGGGTAATAGGCGTGTGCCACTATGCCCAGCTTGACTTGAGACTTTAGATCTTTTTAAAGTTACGTTTAATTATGCATATATGTATGTATGTACGTACCCGTGTGTGGCTATGTGCTGCAGAGACCGGAGGCATCTGAGTCCCTGGAGCTGGAGTTACTGCAATTGTAACTCAGCTCATGTAGCTGCTAAGAATCAAACCTGGGTCCTCTGCAGAAGCAGCATGTGCTTTCAACTGCTGAGCCATCTCCTCAGCCCGTGGGTTTTTGTTTTCTTTTGTTTTTGTTTGGTTGTTTTGTTTTGTTTGAGATGGTCTTTCTATCGTGGCTCAGACTCTGTTGTAGTCTCCCAATCTTGCCAGTCCTCCTGCCTCAGCCTCCCAAGTGCTGAGATTATGGACATGAGCCACCATGCCTAGAGTCTTCCTCAGCGTTAGTTATAAAATCACAACCATTATGCAGGTAGGTGTCTAAAGCAGGCGTGACCTCTGACTGCTGTCTCTACTGCAGCCTCGCACACAACCCGTTTCTTCCCAACAGCTGGCAAATTGACAAGTCAGCTGGGAAATGTTTCACCCATCGCATGGCTTCTTGTACCCCACCCCCACCCTGCAGACCTTTGAGCCTTGTCATTACTGTGGCACAGGTGTAAGCAACCCCACAGCACCTGTTTCGGGAACTGTTCTTTTAGATGCAGCTGAAGCCTTGAAGCCCTGTGAGGGTAGCACTATTCATGTTATGGTGGAGAAGTGCCAAATGTTGTCCTCTTCATTTTCTGGGGTGCACAGTCTCTGTTTCTCTGCCTCTGTCTCTCTCTTTACTTCCCTCCCTTCCTCCCTCTCTTAAAAAAAAAAAACTTTATCTTTTTATACATTTCGTGTGTGTGTGTGTGTGTGTGTGTGTGTGTGTGTGTGTGTGTGGTGTGTCCCACAGCAGAAGTGGCAAAGTTGAGGACATTTGGCAGGTGTCAGTCCCACACACACACACACTAGGTAGGTCTGTAACCTAGGAGGGCCAGGATAGCTCGCCAGAAGAGGATAAGCCCTGAAGCTGGCGCCTAAACATGCCCATCCAGGGTAGACATGGTGTGAGTACGCCAGCAGGTACAGGGATGGTTTAGGTGCACAGGGGAAAGAAACTGACCTGCCACTCTGGAGTTGATGGGGTAGAAGCTGGGGTTCGCTTATGACACCATCAGCCTAGGAGGGTGACACTTGGCTCATGTTAACTTCTCAACTTCCCCTTCCCAAGAAACACTATAAACCCTGACTGCTGGATGCCCCCAGGAGCCACGAAAGTCAGCTTGACCACTGGGTAAGGGGTTGGCAAACAGGATTGGCAGGCCTGTGGGAGAGCAGGCTGTGGCTTCTCAGAAGGAAAACTGAGAGCTCCGGGCTGCATTCCCAGGGAGCTGTGTTGGAGAGCAGTAGGCTGGTGGAATTGGGCATGGATCCCCTTTCCACTCTGTCATTAGGTGACCTCACTCGGGCGAGTTAAGCTTTCACGTTCTACGTCCCTACCTGTAAAATGGGCCTAATAGCATCTCCCCACTTCGGAGGGCTGCGCTGCTAATTAAACGACTGTGGGGGAAAGACTGTGCTGTGATCCTTATTACACACTGTGGGGGCAGGTCAGCACCTCCTTACTCAAGGGCCAAGGACAGAACTCAGGAGTTCTGTGAACTTGGCTCTGGAAACCATCTCTTGTATCAATTAACTTCAAGCTGAAATTTAACATCTCCTCCAGTTTACTTTATTATTACCTTTATTTTGGAGACAGGATCCCATGTATACTAGGTTGGCTTCAAATGTGCCATATAGCAAAAGCTGATCTTGAAGTAGACAAATATCTCAGGATTTTTGTTTTATGTGTATGTGTGTGGAGCTCCGTATATGTTTGGGTACCAGTATATGCAGGTGCCTTCAGAGGCCTGAAGAGGGCATTGAGTCCCCCTGACAGCCAACCCAGGACACAGTCCAAAGGAGTCCAAGGAGGCCAAAGGGTTTTTTTGCATGTGGGGCAAGTTCTCTACCAATTGAGCTACATCCCCAGCCCTAAGTGAGAGTAGTTTTTTCTTCTTGTTTGCCTTTTCTTTCTCCCCTTCTGTGGTGGTTTGAATGAGAATGTCCGCAGGAGCACAGATGTTTGGATGCTGTCTGGTGGGTGGCATTGTTTGGGTGTGTGTAGGAGGAAGTATGTCGCTGGAGGTGGTCTTTGAGAGCCCCGTTCGCTCTTAGCTTCCTGTTTGCAGTCTGAGAGGCCCCAGCGAACAGGCTAACAGCCTTGTGCTCTACAGATGTCACCGTGTCTTTATTAATAAACCCCAAGCAAGAACCCCGAAAGCTCCGGCAATACCTGGTGTACCAACATAGGGTACAAGATCCAGG